CTAAACCCCACTAACTGAATGAGCACAAGGTATTTCAGGGACTCTAGAATCCCAGGGAAGTTGATGGTAGCTGAGAGGGCTACTACCAGGGATGGAGGAGAGAAAAGTTAATTGTCAGCCTCATTCTCACTTTGACCCCATTGCTCACTCCAGGACCGGTGGCCAAATGTCAGTGTTAGCTCCTCCTTCATGTACCTCTCAGAGCCTGAAGATACTCCCGGCCCAGAGGTCCCCCTTTTGCCCTCTCCTATCTCAGGTTCCATCTGACAGCCCTCAGCACCCAAGTAAAAAGAAGAGGTGCTCTGCTTCCACAAAGATGACAGCTGTGGAAATCGTAGGGGCAGTTTGTCTGTTCTAGAAGGTTCCTATGAGTCTGACCAATGGGTTTGGTTTTGATTTGGAGACAAGGAGATGGAAGCCCCAGCTCTCTCTTTCTTGTTAAGCAGTTGAGCCTAGGGTAGTAAAGAAGAGAGTGTGGGGAGAAGAGAGTGCTGCATGCATTTATTACCGGTTTTGAGTGTTGGCAGTGGTTCTGGTTCAACTAAAAAATGTTTAATATTGCTACTCTGTCCCAAGTTATAAAGTTTGTATTGTGAACTGAGTGATAGTTTACATGGGAGAACATTGGTTTTACACTTAGTTTCATTGAAATGATTACAATCTCCTCTGTGCATCATCATTTAACAGTGTTTGCTTCTATTCCCTCTGTTTTGTTTTTTTAGGGCAGGGCAGGGTATGTTCACAAAAACCTTCAGGAATATATAATCATTTAAACAACCAAAAGGGCACATTCTTTTGGTTGTTTAACTTCTACCTTTACAGTTGTGACAGTCACAATTAGCCATGATAACAATTACTCACTATTGAATCATAAAAATCTTATCCCCATCTCTTTTCACCAGCCATGTCTAGACAGCTGAAAACTATTCAGTGGGGACTCTACCTTTCCCCACACACATATGACAAGTTTTATCATGATGCTATGTGAGCATATCTTCTTCCTTCTTCCTCAAGTAAGCCCAGTGCGTGAAGGTTAGGGGCTGCTGGAGCTAATGAGAGGCTTGGTGTCCCTGGGTGATGCAAAGGTTAGGGTACTCAGCTGCTAACCAAACGATGGAGTTAGAGTCCACCTGGAAGCACCTTGAAAGGAAGGAAGGCTTGGTGATGGACTTCCAAAAACCCAGTCACTGAACACTCCATGAAGCATAGTTCTACCTGACACACATGAGGTCACCAGGAGTTGGAAGCCCCTCATCATCAGCTGATATTTTGTTTTTTAATACTAGGCTTTAGCTAACTCCATTTGCATACCCTTGAATCTATTCATTGTCAGTGGGTTTGGTTGGCGATTTAGAATTAGAAACACCCTTACTGCCCAGTTTGATCGTTGTCCAACACCCCAGCCAGCCTTGTGCACTGGAAGGCTGGTCCCCTTCCTTCTTACTGAATCTTCATCTTTCCTTATAGAGAGGACATCAGACAGGACTCTGGACCTCAGGGGTTTAGTGAAGGAAATGTAGCCTCCCTGAGCTCAGGGTGAATAAGGCTTTAGTTGTAAGAAGGATGTGAGATGTTAATATAGGAGTTGCTCTTTGAAATTGGCTCTCAACTTCAGGAAAACTGATGGCTCTTTGGCATAAACCATCAGTTTTCCTACAGTAGACCTTTTCAGATCTTCACTTCACCTAATACTGTACAGCCCTGCCCCCATCCCCACTCCAGGGAAGCCTGGAGACCAAACTGGACTTCAGAGTCACTGGAGGTCTGGAATGGGCTCCTCCAGCCCTGTGATTCCATCCCTGGACTTGGAGTCAGATGCCTGTGGTGCAATCTGGCCCAAGCACTCAGAGATGATTACCATATTTACCTCCTAAGGTTCCTATAAGGAGTCCTGGTGGCAATGTGGTTAAAGCACTTGGTTGTTAACCAAAAGGTCTATGGTTCAAATCCACCATCCATTCCTTGGGAGAAAGATGTAGCACTTGGCTTCCATAAGATTATTTCCTGGGAAACCCCATGGGGAGGTTCTACTCTCTTACAGTTACTAAGAGTTTAAACAAATTGAACAGCAATGCATTTTAAGTTTACTGCAAAAAGCTGGATTCAGAAGAGGATATGGAACTAGGGATATCATTGCTAACATCAGATGGACCTTGTCTAAAAGCAGAGAATACCAGAAATACGTTTACTTGTGCTTTATTGACTATGCAAAGGCATTCGACTGATTGAAGTATAACAAACTATGAATAAAATTACAAAGAACAGGAATTCCATGACACTTAATTGTGTTCATGAGGAATCTGCACATAGACCAAGGGGCAGTCATTCAAGTAGAACAGGGTATTCTGAAGGTTGAAAACCAGGAAAGGTGTGTGCCAGGATTGTATCCTTTCACCATATTTATTTAATCTGTATGATGAACAAATAATCTGAGAAACTGGATTATATGGAGAATACAACATCAGGATTGGAGGAAGCATTATTAGCAATCTGTGATATGTAGATGATACAATCTTGCTTGCTGAAAGTGAAGAGGTCTTGAAGTACTTACTGGTGATTAAGGACAACATCCTTCAGTATGGATTGCACCTCAATGTAAAGAAAATGAAAACCCTCACAGCTGAACCAATAAATAACATCATGATAAATGGAGAAAAGACTTATGTTGTCAAACTTTTCATTTTACTTGAATCCACAATCAATATTCATGGAAGCAGCAGTCAAGAAATCAAATGAGGCATTGTATTAGGCAAAACTGCTGCAAAAGACCTCTTTATAAAGTGTTAATGAGCAAAGTCACTTTGAGGACTAAGGTATGCCTGACCCAAGTCATGGCATTTGCAATCATCTCATATGCATGAGAAAGCTGTACAATGAATAAGGAAAACCAGTGAAGAATCTATATATTTGAATTATGGTGTTGGCAAAGAATACTGAGTACCATGGACTGTCAGAGAACAAACAAATCTTAGAAGTACTACCAGAATGCTCCTTAGAAGCTAGGACGGTGACACTTTGTCTCCCATATTTTGGACAAGTTGTCAGGAAAGACCAGTTCTCCCTGGAGGACACTGATTGTATAAGTGGATGATCAATGAAAAGGAGGATGTCCCCAATGAAATGGACTGATGCAGTGATAGCCACCATGGACTCAAACAATTGTGAGGATAGTGCAGGATGGGGCAGTATTTTGTTCTGCTGTGCATGGGGTTGCCATGTGTCAGAAATGACTTGAAAGGGTCTAACAACAATACGTGATAATTATAATTGGACTCAAACATACCTTTCAAACACACACACTTTTCCTGGTTTTCATCGTGAGATGGCATAGAGTCAGCCAATGTTTTGTTCAGTTATACATAAGGTTGCCGAAAGTCAGAGTCAATAACTAGCAATGATGATGCTAACTGTCGTTGAGTCGGTTCCGACTCATAGCAACCCTGTGTAGGGTTTCCAAGGAGCTGCCAACCTTGTGGTTTGTAGTCCAATGCTGATCCTATAGTGCCACACCAGGAATCCAGCAATAATAATGCTATTGAAAGATAAAGATGGAGGAGAAAGAAATGAAGAACTGGAGAAGTACGGTCACATTTGAGGAAAACTACAGACTCTTTTACACGACATGTTGACAATGTCCATGAACGAGATGAAGAAAAACAAATGAGGAAAAGTCTTCAGGCATTTTATTCTGGAAAGCTGTATGAATGGTGTGGCTGAGAGGTCAGGAAAGGGGGAGATCTTGCCATGAGCTGGGGGAGTCAGGTTGTTTTGGTTTTTAACAAGTTGTTTGAAGGGACTATGCCCATCCATTTGACTTGCAGGTTTATTCCTGAGAGATGCAGAGAAACAAAAAACAATCATGGAATGATCCACAAAGAGGTACTAGAATCTGAAACTATGGCTGTGATCTGTAAGTGGAGAGTAATTGTTACTGGGAGTGTTAATCGTATCCCTGCCTTACAGGGGGACTCTTGTTTTCCACTGATTCAGAATAAACAGGTGAGGCAGGGTTTCCATACAATCAAGTTTATTATAGGAAAGAGGCTTGGCAGACTGGAAAGGCTTTGCTGGGATTTGAAAGTTTATGGTAGGAAAAGACAGCATTTTCATTTGTAGGGATAGGTGGGGTTTTCTAAGAAGTCCATTTAAGAGGGGACATGCTAATTAGATGTGTGTGCAGAATTTCTTCAAGATGGATTCCACCACAAAGGCCTCTGGTAGGGGCAGACAAAACTTATTATAGGATGTTGTGCATTCATGGTTCTTCAATACTCGGTGCCAGCCCCTCCTAGGGCTGGCATTCTCCTCCGTCCAGAAAGGTCATCTTTTAAGGTGGGAAAAAAGTTAAGACTGTACAAGGAAGTAAAACACAGAAATTTTATGGTGATCTGTTTACAGTTGTAGTTGTTGTTAAGTGCCATCGAGTCGATTCCGATCCATAGCCACCCTGTATAGGGTTTCCCAGGAGCAGCTGGTAAGCTTGAACCACCGACGTTGCAGTTCAAATGGCTTTGCAGTCTAGCGCATTAACCCACAGCGCCACACCAGGACTCCAGTAAACAGACAGTAAAATGAGAAAAGTCTTGGAATTAATGCTTCCATCCTCCAAGAGACCCCCTAGGCTCCTTGTCTCGGGGAGACTTGCAGAGGTCAAGTAGCAGATGCTGGGGATAGGTCACATGAGTGCTTCAGCTGGGCCCATCATAGCTGCTCAGGGGGCTTCTCAGGGGATTATGGACTACAGTTCTTAGAAATCATCCATCTCTGAGATCCACTCAGTGAACATTTACTGAGTGCCTGCTGCATATAGTGTCTCAGGTACTGGGCGAGGTTCTGGGATACAGTTCAGAACCAAAGAGACCTCCTGTCATTGAGTCCAATGAGGAAAACTCATAAGAAATTCAGAAGGTGGAAATAAAGCAGTATAGACTTGAGAAACCTGTGGAACAACTTCACAGCAACTCCATAAAGCAAATACACAGACTGAGTTCACCTAGTCTTCAGTCTTCATCACTTATCATTTCTATATCCTTGGAAGCCATATATTTTGATTCATACCACTCTCGGTGGTTTTCCTTAATATCTTGGAGGATGGATCCCAAGCTAATACCAAACTCAATGATACTACAAATATTACCTTTGCCGTAGTTATAGGCAAAGCCAGCGGTATGCATGGCCACTAATGAAAAATCTGGATCAAACACTGGGGAACCAGAAGACCCAAAGTAAAAACTAGTATCATACGTAATCACATGAGGATTGTTAAATATATTCTTAAAGCTGTTCATAGTATGCATATGGACAAACTGACCACTGCTATCCACTGCTTCTTTATTTTGAAGATAATGATCCTGACATGCTTTTTCTCGCTGACCCAGAGGGATTACACAACAATTATCAGTAGACTTTTCCTTTCCATATGGATGGCCGATAATGTACACTAACCCACTATGTGGTATAGAAGCAATTCTATTATACAGTCCTGAAGGTACCTGTTGTCCATTTTCCTTCAGCTTCAGAATACAATAATCCAAAGTTGCACCAGTCAACAGAAAAGAGTCAAGAAAAAAGGAATTCTTTTCTTTTTCTGTGTAGTCTTCATAATCAAACGTCACCCTTGCATACTTACTAATTAATTCTAACCAGAGATGTTGCTCTACACCATCTCCTATAATCATATCTATCACGTGCTGACAAGTAATAATGTACGGTCCTTTTAAAACAAAGCAGGTGCCACAAAAATTTTTACTATATATATATCCAACGGATTGACCAAAATGAGAAAAACATTTGTGGTCTTTTATCGTAATTGAGTTGCTGACCAGTTTCCCAAAATTTGCTTTATGCAAGTTGAACAATGACTTTTTATTCTTGTTTGCTTTCATTTTTTGGTTGAAGTGTTTTCTGATTTTGTCACTTTCTCCTTTCAAACTGGGATACTGGTCCACAATTTGTGAACTGGTCACATGGATGTCTCTTTGCTCTGACTCAGAATTCTGAGAGGCTGTTGCCCGAAGGCTCATTTTTTTCTCAAACTCAACCTCAAAGAACTTGCCCTCTAAGTCATCGACTGACTGTGTGCTTTCTAAAACACATTCCAGGCTTTCGATGAGCTTCCAATCATCATTCTCCAGAAAGGTAAGGAACCTGCCATCCTTGCACAGCGCCTCCTTGATGGTTTCTCCTTTAAAAGCATAGACGCAGAGTTTGCATCCTTTATTGTGAAGTCTGTTGCGTTTAACAATCCTTTTTCTCCCCTTTCCAATTGCATAAATATAAAATTTGATACACTCAGCGGTAACTGTTTCATCATGCCGAAAAAGCGTCTGGTTACCTTGCTTACTATTATTTGTGACAAATGTAATTTCCAAGTGAGACATTTCAGGAATACAGCTGAGGGGCATTCCTAGGTTTAAGTACCCCTCAATTCCCTGTCTGCCCAGGACCAGCATTTCTTTGTTTTGCTGAGTCTCTATTTCTTTTTTGACAGCAGCGAGAGTATTGAGTGCTTGGTATAAGCTAGCTCTCTGACTATATTTGAGCCTATATTTCCTGTTTTCATTGTTCCTGTGGGTTGCAATCAAAGTAACGCTAATTCTCTTATTGAGGGGTGTGGCCTGCTCTTCCAGATGTTTCTGAGACAAATGGAAACTTTGAGCCTGGGTTTTAATTATGTATTTTGAAGATTTTCCAGAGCTAGTCTTCTTTTGAGGCATACAGGAATGATTCTCTTGTTCTTTAGTGACCTAAAAATAAATAAGTTCAATATTTTAAAACTCTGAATACAACCCATAGTTGCAATACTGCTTGCCTTTCAGTATTCAATTCAGCCAATTTCTATGGGAAACCCAGTCAGTGAACAGAATTGATGAGAGTTTAGCTAAAGACCCCAAATCTATGCCCACTTCCTTTCACATCAGTCAGATGAACTGTTGCTACCACCACATTGGAGTATTTTTCAGTGAAATGAGAGAAGAAACACAACTTTTTGGCAGCTGCATCAAAAACAGAGATCTAGAGAAGTCCATCACTTCTCTGAGTGTTACAACAGGCTTTGTTTACTATTTTCAGCTATATAAATTTTAGATTTTTCAGGCAAAGTGATGCATTACACCAAAACTTTTTTCCTGAAAATTCCGAATTCAGCAAGTGTAAGTTTACCATGATTTTTATCAGGCAGAAAATGTTAAACAATTACTAGTTCCATGTTAAACTAATTCACTAGTTAGCTAATCATGTAGTCATGATAGAGTTATTTCACACAATAAACACCTTGATTCACTTAGCACTTATCATACCAAGACTAATTTCTTCCCCTGTTACATCCACTAATCCCCAAATCCTAGGAAATGAAGAGGAACAAGTATGGCCTCTCTTATTTTTTTCATGAAGAAACCAAAGCAAAGAAATTTCCCTAAAGTCACATATTAACAAAAAAGTGAAAGATTAAAGGAAACATCATGGGTGGCAATGCCTACCACAATAACTTTGTGTTTTCTTTCTTTTAATACTAGTCCCAATATTTTAATCTTTTGTTTTCTTTGTTTTAATACTAGTTCTAATATTCTGGAGTTCTGGGGTGGTGCTGTGGGACAAGCACTGAACCACGTGGTTGGTGTGAATGGCAAGGTCAGCGGTTCAAGCTCACCAGCTGCTTCTTGGAAACCCTATACAGGGTTGCTATGAGTCGGAACCAACTCGACGGCACTTCACAAAGACAACATTCTGGAAAGAAGCACTGGTAGTTTGTGAAATGGTTAAGTTGTCTTCAAAAGCTTGTTGGCTTGAACCCACCCTGAAGGTCCATGGGAGAACAAACCTGAGAACATGCTCCCATAAAGATGGTTGTTATTTTTAAGTTCCACCAAGTTGGTCCCAACTCATAGTGATCCCATATAGGGTTTCTGAGGAGCAACTGGTGGGTTTGAACTGCCGACTTTGCAGCCCAAAATGACCTCATGGTGCAGCACATTATCTCACAGTGCCACAGCCTAGGAAATTCCATGGGGTACTTGTCCTCTGCTTCATGGGGTTGCTATGAGTCGAAATCAACTCAACTCTATGACACCAACAGGAATATTCTGCACCCAAAAAATAAAATAAAAAGGAACACAAGATAATACAAATTTACTCAGCATTTCTTCAGCTCACTGAAGTCCGAAACATCCTTAACATACATCCTTTGTGAGCCTGGTAGATAACTTGAATAACTTCCAGTTATTCAAAGGATTTTTGGTTGGATATAGACACTTTCAAAAAGAGAAGCAGGGTTAGATTTGTATATGATTATGAGCTTATTAGCATCTTGGTGTGTGACTGTAGGATAAGCACTAGACTACTAACTGCAGTGTTGGTGTCTCAAACCCACCAGTCACTCCTTGGAAACCCTATATTATTGTTGTTAAGCGTCCACGAGTTAAATTCTGATTCATAGCAACTGTGCATAGGATTTCTGAGAAGCAGTTGGTGTGTTTGAACCACTGGCCTTGTGATTAGCAGTCTAGTGCTTATTCTATAGTGCCACACCATACAGGGTCACTCCGAGTCGGTACCAATTAAAAGGCACTTGTTGTTGTCAGGTGCCATCGAGTAGGAACCGACTCATAGTGACCCTATGCACAGCAGAACGAAACAATGTCCGATCCTCGGCCAACCTTACTACCGCTGCTACACTTGAGTCCATCAATGCTGCCACCTGGCCAATCCATCTTGTTGGGGGTCTTCCTCTTTTTATCTGACCATCCATCTTACCCAGCATGACATCCTTCTCCAGTTTCTGTTACCTCTTGACAATATGTCCAAAGTATGAGAGATGAAGTTTGGCCATCTTGGCCTCTAAGGAGCACTCTGGCTGCACTTCTTCC